AGGGTATAGATCTATATATATACACCTCTGTATATATGTACATACAGACACGCACAACAAACTTGGCACCCATTAAATTGAGTTTTTATATTGAGAAGCTTGGCAGACGAGCGGCCAGCGGTAATTGAATTAGATGTGTTCCACTCCCCCTTCGAACCCTCCTCTTGGACTTTGGTTATTTTTTTAACAGCTTTTGCTAGGCAATTAAATGCACTTTATTAATAACCATATAACCATGTCTTATGGCATATATATAGTATATATACAAGTTGATCAACTTAAATGCCGAGTTCCGCAAAATCTAAGCAATTGAGGCAATTTAAGGAATGCGAGCAGCAAGTACTTGTGAAAGCCATAATTAATCTGAAAACTGCTGGTTATTTACATCACAAGGCAGGCATAAATCTCAGCTACATAGCCAGTGTATAAACAGACTATATTTTGGGTTTATTTATGTGAAAATGAGTTAGTAAACACACTTTGGCAAGAGGATAAGTGATAATTTATATATTACTAGTACTCCAAATATAATAAATTAAATATTTTAAAGCTTACTAGGTAATTTAAAATGATTTAATAGTTAAATATATATATTAAGCAGTCTAAATAAATTTTATTAAATATTTTATAGTTTCCCTAGCTAATTTTCTCACCTGTAACTATTTTATTTCCCTTTCATAAGTCACTCCTGAAGTATAATTACTATATATTATTATAATACATTTCTGGGCATAGTCTAAATGAATTAAATTTATATTTTCAGGCTCAAGTATCTCACCTGTAACTTTTCTATATATATTTCCTTCCTTCTTTCTTCTCCACTCAAGTGTTATTAAGTATTTTTCACACAATTCAGGGACAGCCTTTATTCCGCTCCTAGATTGCACTTCTGATTCCCATGGAAGCTCAAACTCAACTGCAGTTCATCTCGAAAACCTAAACCAGAATCTGGACAATAACCCAACCAATCTGAGGGCGTGTGTGCGATGTGTGTGTGCAAATGTCATGCAATCTGCCCACGTAAATTTCCTGTCACAAAAACACATCACAACTAGTTAGCTGACGGTGCTAAATATAATTCCATGACTATGACATCCTGGCATATCATTGCGGAAGTCTATTCATCGAGCGATGTGCATTTTATGAGAATTTTCAGCAGTTTGATTTACACCTTTGCAATGCCTGGCAGGGAAAGTCACTCTGTAAATATCACGCATACGCAGTGTGTGCGCCGAGGAAGTAAAAGCAGTAAAGCAATCGGTTTTCAGCAATTTATTGACGAAAATGTCGTCAGATATCTGTATTGAGCCTCAGTTTCTTCGCTTCTTTTACTTGAAAACTCTTCTTGGCCATTGCTTAGAAGGGAGAAGCAAAAAATTCACAAATATTTGAGCACTGAGAGGGATTTTTGGGTTCATCATAATCCAATCTATGCTTTCTTTTTCGGATTTAATACATATCAAAGAGTAATTGGTTTCTTTATCATATTAGTTGCTTTAAAATCGATCTCTAATTGTTGTTTTCTTGAGTTACTTGATTGTTTCTGTGACTTTCTTGCAGTGTCCTTGGTGTCCTGTCCATAGTCCTCAGCCTATCTGTTATTGTTCGCAGAATTTTTTCTGTTTTGCTGTCCTGTGTCCTGTGTCCTGTAAGCACTCAACAAATATGCAGGCTGTATGGCAAAGATACCAGAGCAGAGCGGAGTCAATGCATGTTGTCAGGGAGAGAGGGGAGACCCTGTTGGAACAATAAGGCAATATTGGATGGAGACTTTTCCTTTGGCTTTTTTCACTGGCCCCCGTGGAATCCGTATGGACCAAAAGGATATGCGTGCCAGTGTGTGTGTGTGTTTAGGGAGATTTGCCTTAATTAAATTCCAGCATAAAAGGATTTCGGGATGCGACTCGCCTTTATGTCTTTTGACAAAAGTCTTAGCGGCTTACTCGGGGCCAACTACAGATTTTAATTACGGCTATAAATCATAGAGAATTCGTTCGGGGATGCTCCATTTCCCCTTGTCTTCCACCCCCCACCCCCTTTCCGGGGCATTAATCGTAGGCATATGGAGGGGGATGCTGGCCAGCAGAGTTATCTCATAGTTAACTCACATGAAAAGTATAGCGATAATTTAGAGACTTTTCTATAGAAGATTGATCGAAATAAACCCACTGTTACACTGCAAATAAATCTGCTTAGATATCTATAATAAAATTGAGCATGTAATAAAGGGAATTCTCTAATTTCTCAGTGTATTTCATGAGCTTTACACTTAAAATTCCTTTTGCCCCAATTAGTGCAGTTCCATTGTTCAGTTGCCCAATCATCCGGATGGATGCCTTCACAGTTCGTGGCCTAAAATTTACAGCACACAAAAGTTGGGCATTAAAAAGTTCACTTAATAGTTGTTAGTTATTTTCCCTCCCTCCGACCTCTGACCTCTCCCCAGACAGAAAACGTGCCGGGAATTCATCATTGGCAAGAATCGACACGCCTCCAAAGAGCAGAGCCTGGCCAGAAACAATGTTCCGGCTTATGCTTTATGGCTTCATTGTGGCGAAACTCTGATAATTATGGCAAAACTTGCCAAAGAGAGGGGAGGGGGAGGAGGAGGAAGGGATCTGGCTTATAGGAGGGACTTTCCATTTGGTTGAAATAGGCTAATAAATTCATAACTGCAAAGTTGATGCTACAATTGCCATGGTAACTTCCAAGAAGATGTGCATTTTGTTTAACAAAAAGAGGTAAAGGAGAGATTGGGGCTTATTTTTAGCCTCAAGAGTCGTTGAGTTTTCCTTAAAACATGTAGGACACTACATCACCCTAACTCTTATAACCCGGAGGGCCTGACTACTTCCTGGTTCTTTCGACATCCCCAAGAAGAAGCCACGTAATCAATCCCCTTGACAAAGAAACTTTTGCTTGTTCTTGTTGGCCCCAAAAGTAAGTTTCTTTTGCCTGAACTGAAAGTGAAACCAAAGCCCAAATCATGTTTAGCTTCAAGGGATCCGAAGTGGGGGAATCCCCCATAAAGCCCTTTTGCTAATTGCATACAAGAGCCGCCGTCGTCGCCGCATCTTCGCACTTTACAACTTTTTTAATGGGTGTCAACAGAGAGCTTGTGAGAGGAATCGCAAATAAATAAGTGTGCATATATATATATGCAGATATTTGTGGATATTTGCTAGATATATTCGCAGATTCCCCTAGTTATATATATGTATATATTTCTCGCATGAAGTCGACTAAATGCCTCTTTTGCGGGATAATCTGCGGCGACAGATCTTGGCCAGACTGGCGCGTGTTGCAAATAAATTCGGCGGTTCGGCTTTTGGCCCCTTTGTTTTTGGCCACTTGTTTGCTGAACATTTTAAAATCGAAAAAAAGGAACAAAAATATATATACATACATACAAAACTCGTCAGCGGCAGCAGAGGTCACGATGCGATGGCTGTCTCGATTCGTTCATTGTCCAACATTGTTGCCATCGTTACCACAGTAAGCACCCACTAAACAACACCGCCCCACGCCCCTTTTTTGGCTTTTAAAGAGACCGGCAAGAGGCAGATTTACGATTGACCAAAAGTCATCGCACCAGCAGATGCCTTAATCATCGCGTTTTATGATTATCGCTTGGAACAGATACATATCTGCATATCCAGAAGTGTGTAAGAAATGTCTCCAGCATAACTTTTTAATATTTATACTTTTCTATTCAAAGTTGTAAATGTTCAAGAGATATAAAGATGGATCAGAAGGAAGAGGTTTTCAAGAGAAAATATATAAATCAATGGGAATAAGTATTGAAAAGTCAATTAATACTATTTTTTAAGCAAAAAAATTTACTCATAGTTTTTAATAATTAATATTTGGAATATTTGTTGAAGTAGGAATATTATTCTGGTATAAATTATAAAAGTATGTACCAAGGAAAACCATAATGAATAGAGAAACTTGGAACTAAAAAAGTTATGCTATTTATATTATTTTTATACCCTTTCAGGGTATTATAATTTCAGTAAGAAGTTTGCAAAGCAGTGAAGGAGTCATCTCCGACCATATAAAGTATAAAGTACATATATGATCAGTACATATCAATGAACATTAAGTAAAACAAACAGTAAGTATCTATGATCAGTAATTAAGTAAGACCAGTTATTAACTATGACCAGTAAGTATCAATGAACATTAAGTAACTCTGAACATTAAGTATCTATGACTAGTAAGTAACTCTGAACCGTAACTATTTATGACCAGTAAGTACGTATGTATGATCAGTTACTAACTTTGAACACTAGTAAACAATGACTTGCAACTTTTGTAACAACACATTTCTGAGACTCGGCCGGCAGCACTCACTTCGTTCCGGGGATGTTAGAACGAGTTGGGAATCATAAGCACAGATGCGAGAGATTTGTTTTGGAAGAAATTTAAGCTATTTGAATGAAACTATGGAGTTAATCTTTTATATAATTTTACTAGTATATAAGTCGGAGCATGACGAATCGGTGGACTATATATATACATACATATATATATAACTGCCATAGAAACAATTGGAAAATTAAAAAAAAAAATATGTAACTTTTTCAGTTTTCAACAGATTTTCATGAAAATTGATATATAGCCATTAGAGATTAATCAAAAATTTTATATACTTTCCATTCTTGTTTGAACTGCAATAATCTTGGTATTTTCATTATTAAATATTTATACTTGTAAACAACAAGCCTTTGCACCTTCTCTGTATATATATAATTTCAAATATTTAATCAAAAATCCATCCTCTTTTTATGCTCACAACAAATGTTGCCATTTTATGCGTTTCAATTGAATTTACAGCAATGTAATGAATAAATAACGATGCTGGATTTTAAAATGCAAGAGAATTCCATTCCATTTCGAGGTAGAAAACGCAATCAATATTTTATGAAAAGTCTCAATTGAATAATGTCACCTAGTTGCAATTTAATTAAACTTAATTAAAAGGAAACAACTCTTACCTTATTTTGTTGCAGTATTTCGTAGTATTTCTTCGGGGGAGCTGCAATGAGAGTAGATGTCATTTGGCAATTGCAATTAACTGATTTTCCTTCCTTCCTTCAATATCACTCATACGCCCGGTGGGTCCCAGTTTGGTTTTCCTTCCAGCTGACGGGGCTTTCAAAAGCTGCCTAGTATCCCAAGGATCCCATCAGTCCCTATAATTTGTGCATAATTTCGGATTCACTTTCCACTCAGAGTACCCCTCATGGATCCTGAACAATGAATCGGGGTCGATGACTAATGTGCTGCTCCTTGGGGTTGATTCGTAATTTATTTTGGGGCGCGCGCTGGAGGAGCAAATAAATCGTGGCAACCTCTCTGACCCGACCGGCCAGTCATTACATTTTAAATAAGGTCAACAAAATATTTTTCGGAGTCTCCTGCTAATTGCTACAAGCCTCGCTTTTCTCCCGCTTTTCTCCCGTTTTCCTCGCTTTTCACCCGCTTTTCCTTTCGGGGCCCCACTCAAACGCTCAAATGGCCATAAATCCTGTCCGAGCTTTGCTATGCTTTTCGCCGAATAAGGGTCAATGTGTGAACATGCAAAAAAAAAAGGGAGCAGAAGGAAAATAGAGGTCCTGGGAAAATTCCGCTTGTTCTTTGTTCCACCTTGCAACCCCATAGTTATGCCCCCCGCCGCCGCCTGTCATGTCGCCTGTCCATCAAGCGCCCAAAAGTGTTAATCAAAATGTACAAAGGAAAATAAATAAATAACTAAAGAATCAGCAGGGAAAACATGTATGCACAAAAGAGCTGACAGTGCGCTTGCCACAAGAGAGAGAAAAGGAAACAAAAGGTTTGCCCAAAAGTTAGTTGCCACAAACTTTAAAGCTACAAAGATCTCTCATACGCCATGTGGTGCGGACAGATTGATTGCATTTTCCAGGCAAACACAATTTCCCCCAAAAGAGACTCAATCAATGGCGAGTCAAGTTGGGGGAAGAAAAGTTGACCCACAAAATATCCTTCTTTTATTGTCATTCTAATAACTGCCACTAAGCGCTCTTTACTGCATTTAAGTACAGACTACATTCGCCTGGGAAATGCAATCCTTTGTTGCCTGGCAGGACTTTCATTTGGAAAACTATTCCTTCTGTTTTGGCCCGCATTTAATTGCTGTCCCAGAAATAGGAAGCACGAGAGTCAAGTTTTCCGTCGTCGTTGTCGTTGTTTGATTTCGCTAAGCGATTCCCCAACACGAAAGTAATTGCACTTTCTTGGCCCCGGGGTGAGACATTGTTTCAAATTGAAACTGGCAGTCGGACGGATGGACAGATGGACAGATGGACACATGGACAGATGCCCAAGATGCCCAAGATTGGAAAGGGAAGCCAAGACAACTGTCAGTTGCCAGACGCCAGTTGCCAGTTCCAGTTGCCACTTGCACAACACCAAATTCAGCTCGACATCTATCTGTTTAATATTCGCTATGCGAAAACTTTATATTCAGTCTAAAGTGTTTCATTTATTTGGGTTATCAAGATATATCAGTTAATTTTAATTTAAATCAGCAAGCGTTACAGAAAACTGTGATAGATTTTGAGTTGAGTCGGATAGAGTTTTGGAAAATATTTACAAACTATGATTTAAATTTTTACCCCTCAAGCGAATTATAATTTCAGTCAGAAGCGTGTAACTCATAAAAGAATCATTTCCGACCCTATAAAGCATATATATTCTTGATCAGCATCGACAGGTGAATCTTTCTAGGCATAAACTAAAGAAAAAATTTTTTTTTAATTTTTTTTTTAATTTTTTAGCATCTTTAAATTGTCAAAAATTGATAAAAATTTAAATTTTTTTTACATTTTAAACTGAGTATGCAGATTTGTTAACCCAATTTAAACTAGCATAAGCCCGCTTTCCGAATCAAAATTAATGGATTTTTAGTTTAGTTATGAGTTTTTAAAATTTCGATTTTTTTAAAAAATTGCCATATAAATCATTTAACTGAAAATATTCATTAAGTTACTTTGAGCAGTAATTATCAATAAACATGAAGCTACTATGATCACTTAGTAACTTTGATCAGTAATTAACTCTGAGGAGTAAGTAACTTTAAACATTAAGTAACTATGACTAGTAAGTAACTCTGAACAGTAAGTATCTATGATCAGTAAGTATGTATGTATGTTTGTATGATCAGTTACTAACTTTGAACACTAGTAAACAATGACTTGCAACTTTTGTAACACAACACATTTCTAAGACTCGGCCGGCGGCAGTCACTTCGTTCCGGGGATGTTTGAACCAGTTGGGAATCATAAGCACAGATGCGAGAGATTAGTTTTGGAAGAAATTTAAGCTATTTGAATGAAACTATGAAGCTATTCTTCTATATAATTTTACCAGTATATAGTTCGAACCATGGCGAATCGGTGGACTATATATATACACATACATATATATAGCTGCCATAGGAACAATAGGAAATTTTTAAGAAAAAGATTACAACTTTATCAGAGTGCCAAAGTTAGCTTCCTTTCTTGGTTTTATGTAAAATTTAAAACCGAAAATAAGTGGGCAGAACCTCTCGCTATTTCTTCCACCCCTCCCCCCAAAAGGAAATGGAAAAGTGAGGGGAAAAGCCATGGAAAATGCCGGCTAAAAAGAAGGGAGAGATGCAGTCCGAAATGACCGAAAGGAAATCTGTGCGTGCCGACGGGACTAATGGAAAGGCGTTGGCGGCATTGCGATTCGATCGCTCAGTCTGGGAATCCGGTAAACAATTTGCATGAGCGGTCGGCCGGTCAGTCCTAGGCATATTAGCAACGTTTGACCAAGCATTACTTTGGCGTCTCAAATGTGTTAATAATACAATTTTATTTGTCTGCTGGCGCACAATAAAAGGGAGGCAAGCAAGCGGGGAGGGGAAGGGACTGGAAAAGGGAAAAACGAGCGGAAAATTTACGGTGCGTGTTGTGAGGCCTCAATGTCCTGGACAACGAGCGGAATTCTGTGGCCTTTGCCAGACTATTTTTGAAAAGGGTTTGACATTTAAGGCACACACACCCCTGTGTGTGCCCCCCCGAAATGACAAAACGATGTCTAAACGAGCTCCGAACGAGCGTACGCAAAAATAAACGTTGAGTAAAACACAAAATAAATAAAATAAAGCAAAACTCCGCAGCTGCCTGCGGATATCCTGTCCCGATATCCTGGGGAGTATGTCCCCCTCCCAGGACACACACACACCCGCACACACACATCTGCATCCTGTGTGCTGACCAGCGTAGACAAAATTGAGCACTAAAACGCACACAACAACCTTTTCTCAACCAACAAAAACGAACATAAAAAATACAGAGAAAAATATAACAATAATGGTACAGTGGCCAAAAAACGATCAAAACTTGATTGAAAAATTTATAATATATATATTATTTATTTTAATAAGAAGAGTAGACTTTCAGGCCCATTACTTTGCTTATTCTTTTCTAATTTAAAAATCAAAATCAACTTCATAAACTGTTTGCTTGCCACTGTCCCTTGGACTTGGACTTCAAACGGAGATGCAGAGCAGAGCGTGTTATACATTCATTACACACACTCGCACACCAAAAAAAGAAAAAAAAATAAAATAAAATAAGCAAGAAAAAACACAAAAAAAAAAGGTAAACGGACCTTTTTGTTAAATGTCTCAATTGGCGCTGGAGGAGCGGAGGAGCTGGCAATGGGGGCCTCTCGTTTGATGCTTAATGTGCTTAATGTTTTATGCAGGGCAGTCGGGGAAACGCACAGGGAGCAGAGCTCAGGCGCCACAAATAATACATTTAATTTATTCATATAAAGACGAGCCCCCAATGTCCACTTGGTCCCCGTCTCAGGCGTTATAAATGATGCCCGAATCTCTTTCGAATATCGCCATGCCATGCACGGCACGAAAATGGGGGGTAAAACCAAAGGAAAAGTGAATTTTAATGAAACTAAAATTAAATATTTTATAGATTAATCGTTGGATATATAGATGATTTATTACAATAACAAAGCCCAACTACTGGTTTAGAAAACCTTTATCCTTAAACTTAAGATACTTTATTTTGCTGTTGAACTTACATAATTTATTTATTTCTGATACCCTTGTAGGGTGTTATAATTTTAGTCAGAAGCTTGTAACTCATAAAGGAGTCGTTTCCGACCCTATAAATCATATATATTCTTGATCAGCATCAACAGGCGAATCTTTCTAGGCATATAATAGAAAAACAAATTTTTTGCCATTTTTTTTAATTTTATACTGGGTTACATCGTTAAAAATTTCAAAAAATGATTAAAATTTAAATTTTTTAACATTTTAAACTGAGTATGCAGATTTGTTAACCCAATTAAAACTAGCATGACACCGCTTTCCGAATTAAAATTAATGCATTTTTGACTTAGTTATGAGTTTTTAAAATTTTGATTTTTCGAAAAAATCGTCATATAAATAATTTAAATTAAAATATTTATTTAATATGTTTGATCAGGAAGTATCAATGAACATTAAGCAACTATGATCAGTAAGTAACTCTGATCAGTAAGTATCTATGACCAGTAATTAACAATGAGCAGTGTGTATCCATCACCAGTAATTAACTAAGATTAGTAAATATCTATGACCAGTAAGTATGTATTTATGATCAGTTACTTACTTTGAACACTAATAAACAATGACTTGCAACTTTTGTAACACATCACATTTCTGAGACTCGGCCGGCAGCAGTCACTTCGTTCCGGGGATGTTAGAACGAGTTGGGAATCATAAGCACAGATGTGCGAGCTTTATTTTGGAACAAATTTAAGCTATTTCAATGAAACTATGGAGTTATTCTTCTATACAATTTTACTAGTATATAACTCGGAGCATGGCGAATCGGTGGACTATATATACATATATATATAGCTGCTATAGGAACGATCGGAAAATGTTAAGAAAAATTTATAACATATTCAGTTCTCAACAGATTTTCATCAATTTTGGTACATAGCCATAATTTATATCTAGAATGTTGTATAACA